ACATATATATACATACATTTACATATATATACATACATTTACATATATATACATACATTTACATATATATACATACATTTACATATATATACATACATATACACAACTCAGATGAACACCTCCCAGGAAAGCTCTGTGTTTCCTGGACTATTTTCCACTGAGGATTATGTTGTATTTTATAAATATTATATTTCTAAGCGCCTCGCAGTATTTCCACCATAACACCGTGTGTTCATGAGCACAACTAAACCGCGACAGGTCACCTGACCGTTGCTTTTAACGCGAGGGCTGAGAGGCAGTTTGACGGCAGCTGCTGCACCTCCACCTGCAGTGCCACTTCGACCAGCCCGGGACTTAAAAAGTCCATCCATGTCAACCCCTTCAGATGTTTGTCTGTATAATGAGCATCAARAATCTGTAATTTTCTCAAAAAATCCATATTAATCACATGCATGTGGGGTGGTAGACCACAGCCGCGCGGGGTGGGGAGGGGGGTCTTTTAACAAAGATGTGTCTACGTTTGACTTCTAAAATCACAGAGTTCTCTGAATTATTTATTTTATTTATTTATTTAGATATTTATTCATTTTATTTGTAATAATTTTATAACAAAGAACAAAAAACAATTAGCTTTAGGTGTTTGTAGTTAAAGGAGACCAATTATGGGTCCTAGAAATGTTTATGGTACTGTAGTCTGTGGGCTATCCAGACCATGTTCATTCATTTTAATGCGCAAAATAATTCTCAGATAATAAAATTTCCCATTTTCTAGTTCTGCCTGCTCTGACTTCCGTTCAGAAGAGCTGTTTATGTTAATGAGCTCTGTTGGTAACGCCCTCCAAAAATCTGGTGACATTAAATCCGCCCTCCAAAGCCAGCATTTATGTTAGCATGGCTAATAATAGCAGAAGCTCCGCTGTACAACCGTATATATGAGACCCTGAGTCAGACCCAGAGGCAGAGTCGTGGTCGCAGCTTTTTTTTTCTCCCCCTCCTCCTGTGTCAGAGCTCTGCGCTCACTCTGCATGTTGTTACCAGGGCAGGTAATTGGAGCAGCAGCGGTCAAAATACCTCAGAAACTTGAACAAATAGGCTAAAGCTAAAAACAATAGAGGTACATGAGAAAGCGTATTCATAACGAACAAAAATAAATAAATTGTTTGTGTCCGTGTAGTTCTCGAACCCTGGTCTCCCACTCTCTGGTCCAACACTCTACCCATTGCCCTATTGGAGGCTTGTTGTGAAATGAGCTGCACATTACAAAACCGTGACGGCTTTTTATATTGAGGAGGTGGAGCTTCACCCGAGGGTTGCTAGCTAAGGGGCTGAACGCAGGTTCTGGT